CTTAGTTAGTTAGACGACAGATTATCCTCATTGCACATCGAACCGTTCAGTCCATAAGTGCTCGGATCCCCTCCTTAGTAAATCCAGCAGCATGTAGCTGCTGACGACACCAGTTCTGTTTCGGTTTCTTTGCTACTTTGGCTTCCTGTATAGTGCTCTTGCCTGGCTACACCCCTTTTAAACTGTTGTTTGTGCAGTCTGGTCATGATTGCAGATTCACAGTCATCACTTGGTTCCCGCAAACGTCTTCCTCAGCGTAGAGCTTTCAGAATATCAGCATGGTCCATGGCTTGTCCTCCCGCAACAGTAGCTTCACCTGCAAGCCTATCAGCCTGCTCATTTCCTTAGATTAATCAGGTAACAGAAAATGTATTGATTGGCACTCATAGAAAGAAGTAGAACGATAGAAAACACACTAGACAACATAAAAATCGAAAGCTATAGTTACCGTGCCTTGAATTGAACCTGTCACTTCCAAACGGTGTGTGTGCCTCGCCATGGATACAAGTGCACTAGGAACATGGTCAACCCAGTACCCCCGAAAAAGGTGTCTTATTGACCATGTCTATCGCACAGCTTGAAATCCACAACTATGGAATACGGACAGAATTCATTTCAAACCATTGAAATTGCACTATAGGTTACATAAATTTTTATTAACGAAGCATATGTCGAATAACAATCACATCAACAATTTATAAACACAGTAGACCTTCATGCTTTGTCTAGAATACACAAACATTTAAGAAAGGTATTTGATTAGTAGGTTACGGTGTGTTACGTCATTCCTATAAATTAACAGAGGGAACACCCTTGAGGGCTTTAAATATTATAGATTAATCAGGTAACAGAAAATATAGTGATCGGCACTCAGAGAAAGAAGTAGAAAGATAGAAGAACACACTAGACAACATAATAATCGAAAGCAGTAGTTACCATGCCGGGAATTGAACATGCCACCTCCAGACGGCGTGTGCGCCTCGTGCTCATTTCCTTGCACACCTGCGTTCCCTGGTACAAATATAAAACTGATACGTGTCAACCCCGACAGCTTTAAAGACTCTAACCGCTGTCTTCAGATCCAGCCCTTCTCTATCTTCCTCAGCATGCTCACTGAATCACTGAGAAGGCTTGCGCGGGAAAAGATCTGTGTCTCCAGCTATGTTATTGCTTTGGTCACTGCCATGACCTCTATAGATAGACTACTTGTGGTCAAGGCAACAGTACCAGAATCTTACTTCGCAATTCTTACTCCAGCCTTAGCCATAACAGCAAAAGAGCTTCTCGCATGGTGAATTACAAACCAATGTGTCTAAATGATAGCATCTCCCTGCAGAGAATCCTCGAAAATCAAAGCTTGCACTTCTGCATCAACAGCGGCTGGACTTTCTTGTCTGCATTTTCTGTCTAGACGGATGCAAGAAAAAAATTGTCGTCCAGCACTCTGTTGGTACTTGTACCCATTCCTCACCAGTTTTAATGTCCTCAAGTGAACATACCTGCTAAATAATGTTCTCGGCCTGGCCCATCAGCGATTTTCCTTTTATAAACCTGCTGCATGATTTACATACATACAACCAGTTTTAACTTATGGCTCTAAGTCCTGGACAATCGGTAGGCAGGCCAAACAATTTATTAAGACCTCAGAAATGTCGTTTTACAGAAGAATACTTAGAATACATTGGACAACCAAAAAGAGCTACCAAGAGGTTTTGAAAGAGGCGGGAGCCCGAAAACAACTTATCACAGACATCAGAAGGAGACAGTCATCCTTTTTCGGCCATGTTATGAGAAGAGGGCAAATAGAACATGTTTTGACCACTGAAAAGATCTGTGGAAGGAGGAATAGAGGAAGACAACGAGAAAAGATTCTTGACAGTCTTGTTGCATGGCATGGAGGTGTGTCAGCACACGAACCGATACATGCTGCAGGAAATCGCAGATTATGGAGAGACATGATCGCTCACCCCAGTCGGCAAGGCACCTGATGATGACAATGATGAAACTTGCTGCATTTGTTCTTCCTAATTTCACGCTGCAGCGGATTTTTGCAGCCATTGGGAATATTACATTGTGAAATCCTTTTCTCTTGCACAGTGCTAGTCTGGTACCAACGACCTAAGGCGGCGAGAACGATCCATTAAAAGGAAAACGAAAACGTCCTTGCAGGGAAATCGAGCCTATATATTTCTAGGATTTTCAAACTGTGAAACACATTCACTAACCTCAGAGCTGCAGAACAGCACAGCTTTAAATTTACTGATTGTAGACGTGACTGACTGACTTTCTACCCCACCAGGACATCACACAAGCGATTTTTTTTTTTTTTACGTATCCAGAAACCATGAGTTGTAAACCCTTTGGCTCGGTACTATGGATATCGCAACCCTTCGGCATTGATTCCATTATAGGTACCGTTAATCTGGGAGAAATGTGGCTTTTCTGCCTACCCCCGGGAGTGAACCCGGACCACAATGCCCGATGACATAATGTGCCACCATGTGGGTGAGGATCACCGTGGAAAGGTCCCAGAAACCGCGTTCAGCCTTTGTGCCATATTTATGGGCGGGCTATATTGCGGCCCCTGGTAAAGCCAGAGTAAGGCTTCAAATAACGAAAAATTTCATCATGAAAAGGACGGGAAGTAAGCAATTAGCTTATTGTAGACTTAAGAGTTTAATCTTCCTATAGTGCATACCGTGTAGAGTTGGTAGTGATGTTTATTCACAACTTTCTATTGCGTGTAGTTTCATTCATGTCTGACACACTTGAGGGAAGGGAGGAAAGCGGGTGGAGAAGGGGGGGGGGGGTCTCTCAGCTGAGTGGTCTCAAGGTTTGGCATCCGTCCGGAGTGCTGGAGGTCCTAGGTTCAAACCCCGGGGAAGGCTGAGATTTTTACTCCTAGTAATTTCCCCTGGTCTCTGGGTAGTGGGACCGGACGCCCGTGTGTATTTGTTGCGCACGTAAAAAATACCTTAGCAGTTGGAAATCGAAAAAGAGTAGTTTAAATTCGCTGCCATTACAGAATTTGGAGTTTTAAATCTACCCAAAGTATTTCAGGATCCTCGCCGGTGCAACAGAGTTCGTGCACTGCGCTGAGAATCTTCAGGCTCAGGCTTGAGTTAGAAGTATAACGGAGCCCTTATGGGTTACATCTGTGTGCCATGATGTTGATCCGTTTATTTTCCTTGATATGGTGTCACACTGTCCAGCATCTTCTCTCTCTCTCTGTCGCCCTCTGCCCTTTTCCTCTCCAACTTTCTCTTCCTATGGTGCAACCAACAAATATAGATTGTCTCTTTCTGAGGTAGGCAATCAGTTGTCTTCATGAGTCAGTTTCTTTCCAGGCATCTTCATTACCTTTAAATCTGTCCAAGGTATTCTCATCATTCATCTATGAAACCATATCTCCACAGCTTTCGATTACTTTTTCACTACTAGTCCAACTGACCATCATTAACTTACGTACAGTTAAATATCTAGTTATGAGATACAAGGAACCACCAGTCTGCATGCAAAAGAGCCAGATCTATCAAACGGATGCACACGCAAAATCAAGTTCTGGAAAAAAGTAAAGACCAGGAGTGGACGAACACTGAGAACTTTCCGCCAGAGTTTACAACCGGTGAACGCGAAACAGAAGAAGGAGAATGCTTTATAAGTCAACAAACGACATGGAGAGTATTTCAAAAGATATGGAATGAAACTCTTGTATGTTCTTTTCCTTATTTCTTCTTTTTCATGTTTGTCTTATTTCACAGACAGTTACAAGGAATAACATGCACCGACATTAAATTATAACACAAAAGAAAATAAAAAAAAAAAACATTTCAGCATTAATTTTATGCATAAGGAGAAAAAAGATAATAATAAAATGCATAGTTTATTCCCGACCTTTGTGTCATGATTTCCTCGGAGAGTATTCAGCTTATTCACAGGGCGTTGCCATGAATACAAGAGCGTCCACGAGTTGCAGAGTTTGGGAATCGAGACAAGGAGGTGGCGCCCAAGTTGGCTGCCAGTGTTTGGTAAACGTGAATGTAACGTTATTGCAGAATATTTAAAGTTTTATTTCTGTTCATTTTTGCAATGTGTAATTCACTGCCAGCTTTCTAGGTCAGTCGAAGAGTCAGGGGCTAATTTAACCCAGTGAATTGTGTGGCTGCTTGAACGTCAAGAATCCGGTCGGACACGCAAGGGGACAAAACTAAGAGACAACGAACAACCGCTCGAGTATGCGTACCTTTAACGCTAGATGCAGAGAGTATTTAGGATCTTTTGCAAAGTGAGTTGCGTATCCTTTACAGGGGAACCCACCCAAGCAAGGGAAAAGGGAGTAGGGGAGGGTTGTAGTTTTTTAAGGCAAATTTAGTCAGTTGTTTGTCATGGCTCTCTGAAAGGTCGACTCTTGATACCACTGTCGAAAATAAACATTCAAGACGATCTGCTGCTGAATCTTTGCAGCTGGAATCGAACCCGGTACCCCGGCATTACGAAGCGGGTTCGCAAATTCCATGCCACACACGCCGACATCCATTGTAGATAACCTTCTCTGTGGAGTTACTGTGGCAAGGCATGATCATTTTCTATGTGCAAGCCCTAGCAGGTAATGTATCATGTGATTTTTTTTTCATCTAGTCGCTTAGCTGCGGAGTGTATGCGTGCGCAGCTGACATCATAGTGCTAGTTACTGACTGGAAAGTGTTCTTAAAGTTACCAATTTACATGCAGTCCAGTGTTGGGAGTAGATCCTTGAAAGAAAGATGGATCAGTCAATCAGTTTGTCCATTCCGGAATGTTACCAGGTTTACCATGACATCCTGAGATTTACAAACCTCAGTCTGGATGGTAGACCAACAAGGCAGAGCCTAGAAACTCCGTTCAACCTCAACAAATAAAAAAAAGTTTAAATTATGGCGCTGGTAGCAATCACACTTTTCGGGTGCAACCACAGCATGCGGCTTAGGAAAAACTAGAACCAGTCGTGGTGGAATCTGCAG